CATCACAGCTCACAGCAACCTCCAACTCCTGGGCTCAAGCGATTCTCTTGCCTCAGCCTCCCAAGTAGCTGGGACTACAGGCGCCTGCCACAACGCCTGGCTATTTTTTGTTGCAATTTGGCTGGGGCCAGATCAGAACCCACCACCCTCGGTATATCCATTGAGCCACAGGTGCCACCCAAGATTTTCTTCCTATTACTAGACCTCAGTCCTTTATTAATTTTCCTGAGTAGAGAGTTTTATTTCTATCAGTGTATCTAATTTTCCATTTTTCACCCTTCCTCCTTTGGAAGGAGCTTCTCTGCTCTTATCATTTCACCTTGTATTGTCTACAAACCCTCTCTGAATTTATATTTCTGTCATGAATCTTCCTTAGCAGTCCATACTTTTACTCTGATTCACCAGCACATTGGATCTGCTCAGATGTCTTTAGCTTTCTTAGGAAAAACTGTATCTTCTAAGCTGTGAGCTAGTAAAAAGAACAATGCTACTACTAAAACAAGCTTCAGGCTCAGTGCCTGTAGCTCAGCAGCTAGGGTGCCAGCCACATACACTGGAACTGAGAGGTTTGAACCCAGCCTGGGCCTGCCAAACAACAATGACAAATACGACCAAAAAATAGCTGGTGTTGTGCAGGCTCCTGTAGTCTCAGCTACTTGGGAGTCTGAGGGAAGAGAATCACTTGAGTCCAAGTGTTGGAGGTTGCTGTGAGCTGTCATGCCACAGCACTCTACCCAGGGTAACATAGTGAGACTCTGTCTCAAGAAAAAAAAGAATACCCAGTCTTCAGCTTACAAAATGGGACTTGAGCTATTGGGCTCATGAAAACACTTGGTGAACCAAACTACTGTAGACAAGCTAAGTAGTATTAGCTGTACATTTAGAAGAGGTAAGATGCTGCATTTATATTTATTATGAACACTTTCATCCTGCCAATTTATAATTGTACTTGCTTATTGATTCAAAATCACTTTTTTGAGGAGGCCTATGTACTGATAAGTGTTTTCACTGTAGATAGCTTATCTTCTGTACTGGACCCTTCTGATTTGATCCTGACTCGAGGAACCTTGGATGAAGCAGATGAGGAAGCAGACAGTGATACTGATGACATTGATCACAGAGGTGAGAGGTGGCAGAGGTGGCTGATGAAAACAGAACAGCTGCTGGTTCTCATGTTCTTTGCTTTGGATTTTTTTACTGTTGAATATACAGCCAGTAATTTGCAAGAGGGAGGATGGTAGAGGATATGGCGCCAGAAAAGTGTTTCCTATGTTGAGAGAGTTCCAGGCTTTTCTACTGAATGGCTAATATTAAGCTGATTATAGGCTCGGCACCTGTGGCTCAAGTGGCTAAGGCACCAGCCACATACACCTAAGGTGGCGGGTTCGAATCCAGC